GGTGATGGTGGACGGTGGTAGTGGTGGACGGTGGCGGTGGACGGTTGTGGTGGTGAAGAGAAGTAGAAAAAAAAGGAGAAGATGTTAGAAGATGTTAGAAGACATTGGTTAATGTCTTCTCCTAGAAGATGCCAGGAAGACCTTTTTGAGTGAAATGTCTTCCAAAAAACAAACAATCTGCAGAGCCCATCATCTGCGCGCGTCTGCGCGGCGCAGACAAAAGACGCCAGAAGGTCTTCTGGCAGAAAAACAAACACCCCCATACTCTCTTCACCCCTAAATTTAAAGTCACACTTTTTCATTTTGTGTCCCATGATTAAAGTCACACTCCACACATTTCCTTTCAAGAAAAAGAATATGTGGCTCACAAAATTTCTCTTCTAAACAAATTCTAACCACCCATTTTTTAGTTTTCAACACCTTTCCTAAACTCAACTTGAATTTAGGGACAGAAGGAGTATATTTATGTATAAAGACCTAGGAACCACCTAGGCGCTAGCCGATGGTTTTCCACCCTAGGATCACCTAGTGGTGCTGTTATATACAAATGAATGGAAAAGAAAGATCCATATGTCCCCTCATTCTGAAGTTTTTCAGCGGCAATTTGCTTTTATGAAGTGTGCTAGCTCATGTTCTACAGGTTATATCAAAATTAACAGATGAAAAGGCTACTCATATACCATACAGGGATTCAAAATTGACCAGGCTTCTTCAATCCTCACTAAGTGGTCATGGGCGTGTATCTGTAAGGGTTTTTTATGCTTGATTAACTCTAAAGGGTGGAATTATGTGCTATCAATACCTATATTAATATTTTCCTTTGTTTATCGCAGCTTATCTGCACCGTTACTCCCTCCTCTAGCAACTCAGAAGAAACACATAACACATTAAAGTTCGCACACCGTGCAAAACACATCGAAATTCAAACAGCTCAAAACAAGGTCTTTATTACACCCCAACTATATATAAATGCAATATTATTTGTTGACTAATAATCTAAGTGCTTTGTTGATGTAAGTTGGTGTAATTTTCAGATAATTGATGAGAAATCACTTATAAAGAAATACCAAACTGAAATTCTTCGACTGAAAGAGGAGTTAGAACAACTAAAGAAGGGCATTGTTACAATTCCACAAGTGAAAGATAATGGGGAAGATATCGTGCTTCTAAAACAAAAGGTACATCAGGAATTGCTTTTCATGATTATTACCCTTTCCTCTTCTTTTTTTTTTGAAAAATATGAAAACAGTTCTCCTGGAACTTATAGAAATAGGATTCAATAGAACTAACGTGTGAGGAAGAAAATTATTGTTTGTCGTTTTGAAGGCATGTAGAGTATATAGAGAGATGCTTCGTTGCCTCTGTGTTAAGATAGACGTTGGCAAGAAAAAACGAAATAAATTATTGTTTGCATGCATTATTTATCTGTATTTTGTAAAAAAAATGAATTTTCTTAGAGAATTTGCTTGTCGTTTTGAAAAATGGTCTTTCAGCTAAGCTTCTCATATGCTACAAAGATTGCCTTATTTGTCATGTACTGATTGTAGTCATCTTATTGAAGTTTTTTATGGTCCGATTCAGGGGATTTTTCGGGAGGAATTGGGGGAATTGAACCTGGGGGAAGGGGGAGATATGTTTGAGCCCCAACCACTTGAGCACCCCCACCTCCTCCATCTTATTGATGTATTGGTTATGGTGGCAGCTGTTCTTATTTTATTGTGTATCACAAAAATAGCTGTAAACTTTTCCTTTCAATTGTTCTTTAAATGACTTGTGAAACTTGTGTTTGTTTTCTTCTTGTCTGTAAAGCTAGAAGACGGTCAGGTTAGACTGCAGTCAAGACTGGAACAGGAAGAAGAAGCCAAAGCTGCTTTACTTGGCAGAATCCAGCGTTTGACAAAGCTAATTCTAGTTTCATCTAAAGCTTCACAGTCATCAAGATTTCCTCAGCGCCCAGGTCATAGAAGAAGGCATTCTTTTGGAGAAGAAGAGGTTAATGCTCTGTTGCATTAGTCTCCTTTGATTTTACACTCTTTTGTAGGGATGGAACATGATATAATCTTACCGTTTTAAAAACTTTCCTGCAATACATGATGTATTCTGACTTCTTTGAATTTGCAAGCTTGCATACCTACCACATCGAAGACGCGATCTTATCTTGGATGATGAAGACCTTGATACATATGGTTTCCCTGATAGCAATGTTGAAACTGCGGATGATCCAATAAAGGAAGAGAAAAAGACAAGGAAAAATGGATTGCTTAACTGGTTAAGGATCCGGGTAAGTTGATGGTGTTAAAGGATAAGAGACATATTCAATCATGTCTGTAACTCTATACGCCAGATATTTCCAGATTGACTTTAAATGCTATTTTGGCAGCAATGGTTATTGAATTTTCCTGTTTTGATGGTAGTGATGATTTTGAAAAGAAGAATATATTTTCTTTAAGTTAATTAAGCGTCCTTCCACCTCTAGCAGAAACGGGAAGGTGGCAGTGGGACATTTGCAAGCACTAGTGACAAATCTAGTGGTCTCAAGTCAACCAGTAGTCCTTCCACCCCACAAGGAGAGTGTGTCAATGTTCACATTGAATTACTGCATTCGCATTCATTGCTTACAGAAAGCAATGTTTCTGCAGATCAGTTATCAGTGTCCAAACCAGAGAGAGACCTTCCGGTGGATAACTTTTTGGGACCAGAAACTCCCCTGGTAAGACAATTTAATTTCCCTAGACTTTGCCTTTGTTTTTGTAGCAGGACAGGATACTCACCTGGTGTCTTGTTTTTGATATTCTTCAATTTACTTTAACTTCAAAAGGTGTGTCCAAGTGTTTTGTGTTTGTGTGTGTATGAGTATATTCATCATCAGGCCCCTATGTTAGGAGGTATAGAATGACCAAGTATATGTAAAGAATGAATGCTATAAATGAATAACCGTATCTGTCATGCCATATTAGATTAAAATAAAAACACTTGATCAACTTGAACTCCTGAGGGAACGGCAAAAGATCTTGTTCGATGAAGTGGCTCTCCATACAAGTGCTTTAAAAAGGTTATCTGACGAGGCATCTCGGAATCCAGAGAAAGAACACATTCAAGTATATCCCTCTGATATTCTAAGCGGTATTTCTTTTAACTTCTTCAGTAATTATTCTTTTGAAAATATGACATTTTCTAACATTTAAGGCGGAGGTAAAAAAATTGAAAGATGACATTGGAAGGAAGAATGGGGAAATAGCTTCATTGGAAAAGCAAATCTCCGATTCTTTCATGGATTCTCATGAAAAAGTCACGCGCTTGGAAGATTCACAAGTAAGCTTAGCTTGTAAGCTCTCCTTTGAGGACCAGTTTGTATTGAACTAATTGTTGCTTCATGCATGTAGTCTGTTGCAGAACTCATGGAACAATTGAATCAGAAGTCTCTTGAACTTGAGGTAATTAGAATATACTTCCACCCACTAACTTTTTTTGGAAATAGAGCCATTTTCATACATTTCAACTGAACCTGAAACTCTAAGGGCATGATTGGATCTCCAACAATACTAGGCAAAAGGAAGAAAAATGCTAAGTTAAATTATTTGCTTGTGTTTGGTCCAAAAAGGCAAAGCAAAGTGTAATATGGTTACCGTTATTAAAAATAAATAAATAAATAAATAAAATGAGTTTGAATAAATATCGAGAATAAACTTATCAAGTTTGACCCAATTTTTTTATATTCCTCCATGTTTTCCTTTCTTTTAAGTTTCCCATACTTTCCTCCCTATTTTCCTTCTCTAGCAGTTTCTGAGATCCAAACAAACCCTTAAAAGTTTGCTGGTGTTCGCAGGTCAAAACTGCAGACAATCGAATAATTCAAGAGCAGTTGCATCAAAAGGTAAAAGATGCTATGTCAGTGATTTTACCATACAATCTTTTATTAGTTAATGCAGAACCCAATTTCAGAGAAGAAAAAAAAAACAATCTCTTTCAAACAGATTGTTGAATGCGAGCAACTGCAAGAAACAATTGCAAGTTTGAAACAACAGGTTTCAGATGCCGCCGCAGATCAGAGTAGTTCTGGCGACTCACAACAGTTGTCAGCGACAAAGCGCATGTTAGGACAACTTCGAAATGAGAAGGAAACCCCTGCTTCCAAGAACACAAAGGAAGCCTTACTTCTCCAATCCCAGGTTTTCATCTTTGGTTCTCACTCTGTCCTCCCAAAATAAACTCCACAGTTGCCTCTAGCAAGGTCCATTAGATCAGTTTTGAGATGTAACTTTGAAGTATCTTTTTTGCCGCATGCTCAGATTGAAGAACTCCAAGGAAAAGTATCCGAGCTAGCCGAATCAAAAGTGCAACTGGAGCTTCAGAACCAAAAACTGGCGGAGGAGAGTTTGTACGCCAAAGGATTAGCCTCCGCTGCTGCCGTCGAGCTGAAGGCGCTCTCCGAGGAAGTGTCGAAGCTAATGAACCAAAACGAAAGACTCTCTGCCGAGCTTCTCGCAGCCCAAAAGGGTCCGTCCCTCACGCAGCGGCGGAACGGAAGGAGAGAGACTGTCCACGTCAGCAGGCGGAGCGGCCAGAGTGGGGCCCCGAGAGAGCTGAGTTTGAGCCGGGAAAGAGAGGCTTCGTATGAAGCCGCCCTTGCCGAAAAGGAACACAGAGAAGCCGAGCTACTGAGGATGGTGGAGGAGTCCAAGGAAAGAGAGGCTTATCTTGAGAATGAACTGGCGAACATGTGGGTTAAAGTGGCAAGGCTCAAGAGTTCTCAACAAGAAGAAGAAGAAGAGGAGGAAGAAAGGAGAGATGGGTTCTAGCAAGATTCTAATTGGAAGAAACTGCTGAGTTGGGGCTTTGCGTGGTTGTGTATTTATTTGCCTGGGTAAAGTATTTTATGGTTTTGCTTGTCGATATTTCTATTAGTTTTTTTTTTATTTATAGATGTAGGGAATATTGGAAAAACTCTTGCAAATATTTCTAGAAATTTGAGATTTTACAATTATCCATTAAGGGAAAAATAGGAAAAATATATGTTTTAGAGGTCATTAACAGAATAGTAATTTATGAGGGAAGAGAGTAATGTTTTATGGCATTCCATTGATCCAAAACTTTTCTCAATAAATCAATACTTTGGTACTGGCAAGTAAGTTTATGAAAAGACCAAATCAAACTACACTTTTCAAGTGTTATTTTCATTTGGTTCAAACTTGCCAACTTTAATGCACCAAAAAATATTTGCCAACGTAAAACAACAATACCTACCTGGATATTTAAGACTTTCTTTGGGTTTAGGGTTAATTAAACGACAATAATAATTATGGTATTAACCTAAGCAGGCTTCTGAATAGATTCAGTCTAATAATTCCATCAATGTATGTTTTTGCACAAATCCACGTAACCCCTCTGGATGAGAATCATGAGATTTCTTAAACAATAATAACGTTACATAAATAATACTTATTGTTATTATTACTATCATTATTATTTTTGTAATAATAATAATAATTAATAATAATACTCTCTCTATGTTACGGAGTATAAAAAATTATTTATTTTGTCATCAGGAAGATTAAAAAAGTGTTGAAATAAGACTAAACAATGTTAAAATTAAAAGTAAGTGGTTAATATTTTTTATAAGAGCGTAAAGTATTTTGAACTACATATAGATTGAAAATTTGGTCTCACAAGATTAAATCTCGTGTTTTTAAAATCATTTTATTAGAAAATTGGTATAAGAATAAAAAATAAAACTTACATACTAAAAAAATATGTCAATAAATTTAAAAAAGCTGGCAAGGATATTTTATTTTATGGAATAATCAATGAAAATACACAATTAAGAAAAAATTATTGAGAGATAGGAGTAAAAAAATATTGTAATCAACTCTGGGGCAGATGAAGTACATTTTTAACACAATTAGCATAGACTATACAAAAACTATCATTTTTGTAGCATAACATCTACGAGTATATTTTTTAATAATTGGTTATTATAAATAATTTTCTTCTACTACATCTTCAATGTATTATTAACTATTTTTTTTTTGTTTTTAAAACAAATAAATCTAAAGTAAATGTTTTTGGCTGTATTATATTAATGATCATCACGATGTTAAAAAAATAATAAAATAATTATAATAATTTTAACATTAATATGAATCAGATCATATTAGATACATTCAGTTCAAATCCATCCAACTAGTATTATATCCAATCATATCAGATCCGATCATATTAGATTTTATCTTGCTTAATCCCATCGAATCTTACCAAATTCTAAAAGAATAAGTCAAAATCCCGAATTGACAGGCCCGGTATTTTTTCTCTCTAGCCCAACACGTTTGCCCAACCCGAGCCCATGTAGAATGAGAAAATGACGCATGCTGGGACCTCATTTAGAACTACAGAAGTACTGCAATTAAAAGTCAAAAAGCATGGCTAAATGGGAATAAAATAGCTAAAGTAAAAAAGGAATTAAAGAAACGCTTCCTGGCTCCTGCCTCTCTTTTTCTTTTGTTATAAATATATAATAATCTCGATCGGCATTCCCTAATCCCCACCCATAACCCAATTACTTCATTTTTTAATGCTGAGTATTTATTTATTTATGCATTTATTTTTTTGAAGAGAGCTGAGCCCTTAATTAATTATTCCTCCATTATTAGGAATATTAGCTACCTCCTACACACATTTTTTGAAGGTGCGTGCCCTTTTTAAATACAGTAATAATATTAGTGTTTTTCTTTGTGCCTATAATGTTAAAAATTGTTTCCTAGTGGTTCCGGACCTCTCTAGCATCAGTGTTAAAAGTCTATTTGACAATAATTTTTAGTGTTTTTTAATTAATTTATGTCATTAAAATTTTATCTAAAACGCTAACGCTCATCGAAAAATGAGGTTCCCAAACAAGGCCCTAATCTAATTCGAATCTTTGATCTTAATCTTTTTAGTCCCTCTGATCTAATCTAAATTGCTACCTCCGTCTTTGATATTTGTCCAGTTTTAACTTTTTTCAATCAATCATTTCCAATCCTTGACATATATTTAAATAAAATATATATTGTATATTAATTAGATAAATAATATTTTGAAAAATATTTCATATAATAAATCTAATAAAACTATTTTTGTATCAATATCTAACATCATTTTTATTTGATTTGAGGTCAAAATTTACCAATTCTGATTATACATGTTAAAAGTAAAAATCATTTATGATTTGGTCTAATCTATTTTTGTCTAATCTGATCCAAATATTTTTGTATGATATGAAGTTTATATCTGATCCGATTTGACTTTTATAAGCATAAGTAATTTGAGTACCCTCAACCTAAAGTTGCCTACGTCATGCTTATATATATATATATATATATATATATATATATATATATATATATATATATATATATATATATATATATATATATATATATATATATATATATATATATATATATATATATATAAGAGTCGTTTTAGGTGAGAATGCACCTTGGTGAAAGAAATAAGAATATAAAATCTAGCCTTTGGATCGGATGCATCGTGCGGCTCACATTGCATCCTGCACTCAGATTTTGAGATAATGCATTTTCAAAGGATTTTGGTGCATTTTGACATGACGCATTTTCAAACCATTTTGGTGTAACTAATTTTGATGCAATCTTGACCCTTAGATCTCACAATCTAAAGCACCAGATTTATTCTTATTTCTTTCATAAGATCGTATTCTTACCTGAACCTATATATATATATATAAAGTTGACTCTTATAAGCATATGTAATAGAGAGTACTCTCTTAGTTATTAAATTAACCTTAACTAGTTGCCTAAGTCATGCTTGAGTACCCCATTTTTTATTGCAAATTAAACACTGCACTCTCATAGACATCACAGATATGGAGTAATGTCAAATGTTTTAATGTATAGTTAGTTCAAAATGTGTATAATATGTGTAACATATTTAATAATATGCATATTGCACTCACGTATGCATATGATTTTCAAAATGCTTTAAATTACACATATATTTGATCAACTTTTATTAGTTTTAATTGCAAAAAGTTAAAACTAAACAAAACTCTATGTGGAAGGTAGGGTGTCTTATATATATATATATATATATATATATATATATATATATATATATATATATATATATATATATATATATATATATATATATATAAAAGACACCCTACCTTCCACATAGAGTTTTGTTTAGTTTTAACTTTTTGCATTTAAAACTAATAAAAGTTGATCATAAATTTGATAAAATTGATATTAGATATTGATAAAAAAATAAATTTATTAGATTTTTTTTGAATTATTTTTGAAAAAAAATTAGATCTAATTATTACTCCGTATATCATAAATTTTTTATTTAACTACTCCCTCCGTCCCCAATTTGATTACAAATTGCGGGTTACGGAGTAAAATTTCCTACTTTTTGAAATCATTTTATTTACAAATTGGTATATCAATAAGCTATAAAAATTACATATTAAAAAACTACGTCAAAAGTTCTACAAAAAAAAAGGTGATAAGAATATTTTATTTTATCAAATACTTGATGAAATCGTGTAAACAAAGAAAAGTTATCGAGAGGAGAGAGAAAAAAAGATTGTAATCTATTTAGGGACGGAGGGAGCATAATTCAAGTGTTGATCATGTAAGAAGTAAAAAAATGAATAATTGTTCTTGGACAAAAAGGGTATTTAAAAATAAAAGGCATTTAAAACAAGTACGTATTCATATTTGTGTTTTATTCTCTATTCATCCCAAATTAGATCATACCATTCGAATAAAGTGCAAAAATCTCATACTTTTTAAATTCAACTCATTTATGAATTAGTATACTACGGGGTATAAAATAAAAAAAGATACAGATAACTTGTATATTAAAAAAATTATATTAAAATTTTTATAAAATTTTATAAAATAGGAGAAAATGTTTTCCATCCCAATTGCTATACTAACGACGCCGCCTACAATGGTGGTGGATACCCTGCGCAGATCGGAATCAACGGATAATTGAAGAAAAAATGGAAGGCTGCCCATTGTCGACGGAGATACTGATCGAGATCTTCGCAAGATTGCCGGTGAATTCTCTTCTCCGATTCAAGTGCGTGTGTAAATTCATGTACTCTATGATCAAACACGACCATCATTTCCACAACAAACACTATGAGATCAGTCGAGCTAAGAGAGATTGCGTCATTTTCGAGCGCGACTGCGAGGACTCCCCCTCGAGATTCTCTTGCGGCGCACTATTCAGCTCTGTTTACAGAGATTCGGATTCCGGCGAGATGGGGTGTGCAGATCTGAACATGCCGAGTCCATTCGTGAGGTTTGTGAAGTGCGCTGATGGCGTCCTGTGTCTGGTTCTCGATAGGTTTAGCTCTTCGGAGCGGTTTTTCGATTTTCTGATATGGAATCCGTCCACCAGGGAAACTAAGGCGCTGCCTTCCATCAAAACGCCTGAAGATTACCCTATGAAACTTGATTTTACTTTTGGGTTTGGGTTCTCTAATGAAATGGTTGGGAAAGTTGTGGTGGTTTGGAGCTCCACAGATCAATCTCCGGAAACCCGTGAAACTGTATTGGTTTGTAACCAGGTGGGCGATTCGTGGGGATGGAGGCAAATCGAATCGTTCCCCCACATACAAGACGAGTTTTGTGTGGATAACTCTGCTGATTTCTATTCGCAAGGGAAGTATTATTGGTGTCTCCTAATGTACCCAGACCAAAAGCCAGCCAAAGAATATCTGCTTTGGTTTGACATTGGCGATGAGGTTTTTGGGCTGGTTGGTTTGCCGGATAAGCCGTTGGGAGGGTATGGGAATTGGGGGAGAAAATGTGTGTGGACAGGGGATGGGATTATTGCTCTGATTTGCCATAGAGAGAATCTATGGGAAGTTTGGTTTTTGAAAGAAAGTAACAACAACAACAACAGCAGCAACAATGTGGGTTGGCATAAAGAAGCGAGTTTTGACATTTCCAGAAAGTGGATTGAATGGTTTCCTATGAAGATTTGGAATCTAAAGCGTGATTTGCTCATCAGTGGCTGGTGCTTAGATGATTGCGGTGGTATCACAAAGTTCCTTGTTTCCATTGATTTGGTAACTCGCGAAAAAAGAGTTATTGATAATATCTGTGCTCATTCTGGGGTGTGTGTTGCAGTGTATAGTGAAAGTCTAAAACTGCTTTGAGGATGTGTTTGTAGCAGCAGCTCAAATCTGTGTTTCATTCGACCAAAACAAACTCTACTTTGCTCTTTCAAAGTGACCCTTTTCTGCCACAAAGGGTCCAGTTCCATCTCATATCAGAGCTCTCCACACCACTTCCATACCATCAAGTGCACAATCGGAGGTTTTTCTCGTTCTTCCTTTTTCACTTCACAAATCTCTTCCTTGTTTGCTTGTTTGTTAATGTTATGTATATAGTCCTATTTTGTGTTGTCTGGAATCATGCATAATAGAGTTCTTTTGTTGTACTCCCTATTTTCAAGAAATCATGGTATTTATGAGACTTGGCATTTATTGCTAAGTTGCAGCATTATACATACTTGTCAAAAGGACTGCTGAAATCTTGGTCAAAATGTGTGTATGTGTGTAGTAACACTTCTGCAGTTGCTAATATATTTGTCTCATATATCAAATTTGGTCATATTTATGTGGTTCAAAGTTATTGATATTCTACAAATTCAATCTCATTCACACAAATACACTTTTTTATAAATTTGTGGGAAGTACTTGGGATAACAAAAATTACAAAATACAAACCGAATGGTTCTACTCGTGTGTGTGTGTGTGTGTATCAAATTGCGCTTTCCTTTTAAGCAAAGAAGTGCGAGGCTTATGTATCACTCCTTTCTCGTTTGCATAAATTTCAAGCAGACAATTTCACTTCATTTTTTGAATGGAGGAAGAATTTAGCAAGAGATAAAAGTATTAGTTTCATTTTCTTTAGTTATTTTTAGGCTCTCACTGTTAAACAAGAGGAGCATGCTTGCATGATAATATCATATCCAACCAATATTATGAAGAATTTTCCACCCTTGGGTAACAGAATAATGGAAATGACATGTGGTGCAAAAAGGCCATATTCATTATCCTCACCATTTGTATAAGCCAACAAATGGCTACCAAGAGTCTAAATTGTCACATGAATCCATCTATTATTAGTGTCACCATCATCATTATTGTTGTTTTCCTTCATCATCCATATCTCAAATATGAATGGTGTGTGTATGAGTTCTATTTGTTGCAATTTTTCATGAAAGAAAAGAGGAGTTTTAGTAAGAGCAATATGGGGAGTTCGAAAAATGAGAATAAAATAGAGAGGGATAAACAAGTTATTACGAGATATTGCACTCTTATCTTTTCTTGTAGTTAACTCCAGAATTTAATTGAGAATAACACCTATCTAGAACTACTCTTAAGATGTATAGAAATTAAGAATTTGGATAAAATAGGTATCACACTATTTTAGAAACATTGGCATTATATTTCATTTTAAACTTCAAATCTTATTTTCAAACGAAAATAGGAACAAATAAATAGTCGTGGATAAAACACGCGCGATTATTACATAAGAAAACAAAAAATAAGTAGACTTAGAGTTTGTTCTCTTCAACTTATTTTTAAAACTTATTTTTATTGGAATCAGATCATCTAAAACAAGTATAGATATAACTCATATCAGATCTTAATAAAATTAGGTAAGATCAAATCTGATCAGACGAAGAGAAGACTCTTAGGCTCCATTTTCTTCTACTTATTTTTCCTATTTAATCAAATCAAATCCGACCAAAACAGCCAAAAGAACATAGTCGATCTTAAGAGCCAAAGTATGGGAAGACAACTTCCTTAAATTAAGGATGTCTCAATTACTTTATGGTCATCATTCAATTTATTTTGACCAAAGCTTAGTCACCATTTTTAGTTGAAATCGGCCACATTTACAAGGGATAGGAACATCATGGCTTAACTTTAGGGAATGTATGTGTTAATTAATGTTGAAGTAACACAAAAGTCAAAGAATTGTTTTGCCATATTTGCCTTTGCATTTTGAAAAAGGAATTTCATATAGAAGTGTTTGGTAGGGGTAGTGTACCTCAGGTGTACACTATCTTCTCACAAGTCACAGCACACACAGACATTCATTGTCTGTGTTTCACACAAACAGTGGGTGTCTGTGTGTGTATGTGAGAAGATAGTGTACACTTGGGGTACACCACCTTGAGGTATCTCTAGATTTTTCTAAAAATAAGAGGTGACATTATTGTGTTATTTTAATAAATGACTAACAATAATAAATGAAAAAAGAAGAAAAAAATATGAAATGTGAATAATAAGGTGAGATGATTAATTTGACCAATACTACTTATCAAGCCACTAATGCAGTTCATCCTATTAAATAATGACAAACCTACCCTTAGAATTTGAATCCTCAGCTTCCCAACAACAATGACAGATGATCTCCATCTTGTGAGAACTCAACCTCCTCACATGCATACACATGATGATCTAATACACACACACACACAATGTTAAGGTGTGGTGTTTGGGATTCTACTCAAAACCGAATGTTCTGGCTTATGATCACACTCGTAGTCGAGATGAACAAACGCACGCTCCACCTCGGGGAGCTCTTCGATCTTAATCTGCAACGACTCTCCAATCGCGTGCGCTTCAATTAGTGGCAACTCTTCCGGGAGCTCAATGTCCACCTATATATAATACCACTCGACAACAAAAAAAAATATTGTTAAAAAGAATAAAATAAAATATGTTGTTGTTGTTGTTGCTTATAAAACCTCAATTCCTAAAGTAATCACACATTTATTATACCTCGACGAAGTAGAGAACGCCAAACGAGTAGGCTCGGACCGTGTCAACTCGTTTTATTCTGGGATCGTGCCTCAGCACCATATATGTTAGCTTCTGAAGAACTTCTGGGGAAGCCGATTGTCCAACTAGTGAAACTACAAAAATGGAAGAACAAAAAGACGAAAAATGATACTTCTTTAATCTCAATTTGTAACGAAACAACAAGAAGCCCGAGCGTGGGCCCAAAGACGACCTGCGTTTTCGAGGACAGTGCCAGACCAATTGGTAATCGTATAGACAGCGAGGACTATCGCTCCCACGGGATCAATCCACCAAAAGAATCTATCCCCAAGAACAGCAGCAACCAACCCGACAACATTTGTTACCACGTCGAAATAATGGTCCTATATCGTCAACACGCGACAAATTATATCTCCAGAAAAACGTACTACCTCTGTCCCAGTGTATTTGTCCAGTTTGACTTTTTCGAGTCAAACTGGACAAATACACTGGGATGGAGGGAGTACATTATTTCTAGACCTTCAACCACAAGCTCGAACTCTTGATTGAGTTGGGATTTACCTTCGCATATGCTCGGACAATCTCGTTTCGGGAGCTCTTGCAGTAAATCCATAGAATGAGTTTTACAGCAGTGGCTGTGAGCATGATAGTGTACAGCCAAATCAATTGCTGTGAGCTCAGTTTATCTGCTGGCTCACTTTTAACCAGCTGCTCTACTGCTTCCACTAGCACTTGAAAACCTACCCAAACACATTTTATATGTTCAATGTGATACAAAACCAAACACATGTGAAATTCAACAATGCATGAATATTATATTGCATACCAAGAGTAGCCATAATGGCTGCAAATATGATGATTCCAACTGGCTGGACTCTCAGCTTCCCAATTGGGTATTTGTATATGTTTATATTTTTCATCGACGAGTGCGCGAACCACAGGATTCCACCTGCCATCAAGTCAAGCAAAGAGTCGAGCGTCGACGCTGCTATCGCGAGGGACCCGCTCCTTACGGTGGCGTAAACCTTCAAAAATCAGGTGCACACACTTCATTGCCTTGGGTCACTTGCAGAGTGTAAAATCAAAATATAAAGTTTGTATATCAAAACATAGGGGTTCTAGGGGCTATGGATGACACGAGCTCCAATTAGGTTACTGTTCCGTTCACAAAATTGATGGTTATTTCGTCCAATTTAACTCGAAAGAGTCAAACTCGACGAATACGCTCCAATTAGGTAATACTAATTTTGTGAACGAAACACCGTAAGTGCCTCAAAAAAAGACAGTGGTACTGCAGTATCAACTGAACGGTTCTGATATCAAAATAATGTACCAAAAGTGACCTTAAAAGCGAGCAAAAGGATGTTTGCGTAATTAGAGATGGACATAGCCATTTCATGTCGGGCCTGTTCTTTCCGGCCTTGTTCTTCTTCTTCTTCTTCCTCTTCTTGGCCTCCATGGTTAGAGGAGGAGGAGTCCAAGGAATCGACTTCTTCAAATGACTTTAAAGTGGCAATCTGCTTTTCATAGTACTCTTTCTCTCCTGGTGTAATATTATGTATTTATCTCCATAAAATAGCAATAACCCATGTAGAACAAGTAGCATTACTCTCTCTCTCTCTCAATAAAAGTTGTTTTTTTATTATTTATAAAGCTAAATTTTATTCACTTTCTTTATCTATTTTCGTTACTTATTTGATAAAATAAGGTCAAATAGTATCAATACTCCTGTAATTTGGAAAATAGGCACCAATACCACTCTTTTTTCAAAACTCATTTCTAAAGTCCTCGTGATTTGTACGTCTTAAATTAACAATTTTTATTTTTTTTCCCAAAATAGAAAACTAAAAACTTGTTTTGAGAACTTCAAAAAATGAGGAATAAAATAAGAAATGAAATAAAACAAAAAATTAAAAATGAATATCCTTGTTGGACATTCATATTCTAAGAATTTTTTTAGGCGTTCTGAAAATTCCTTTTGTATAAGACTCTTTTTTTAGATGTTTCATTTTTTTCATTTCCTTTTTCCATATTTTAATTTTATTTTTTAATTTTTGATTTTCTTGTTGAACTTACCAAAAACATTATTACAGAAAACAAAAAAAATAAAATATATAATTTGAGATAGATAGAGCATATGTTAATTTTTATTTTTATTTCAAACACAAATAATTTTGAATTTTTAAAAACATTATAAAAAGTTTTAAATAAATTTAAAACAATTTTCAAGGAAAGGGAAACAAAGTTAGAAAAAAGAAAAAACAAAATAATAAACAAAAAATAAGAAATGAGTGTGTCCGCCCCCTATAGTTTAGAAAATAGGCAGGAACGCCCCCTCTTCACCGGAAAATAACGACAAAATGATCGGGGTGTGGATGCAACGTTTTGAAACCACGAGGACTTTAGAACTAAGTTTCGAAAACAGAGAATGTATTGATGCCAATTTTCCAAGCTAGAGGGGGCTCTGGAGCTATTTGGCCGATAAAGTAATATAGTTATGTTGCTTCTTATTTTGTACTCCCCCGTCCTAAAATTAAACCAAATTGGAATTTACAAGACAATATTTCTCATCTTTTGAAATAATTTTATTTACAAATTGGTTTATCGATAAAAAATAAAAAAATACATATTAAAAACTACACCAAAAGTTCTATAAAACAATAGGTGACAAGAATATTTTATTTTATTAAATAATCAATGAAAATACACAAATAAACAAAAGTTATCGAGAGGGGAGAATAAAATATTGTAATCAAAATTGGAACGGATGGAGTATAACTTTTGATATAATTTTTATTTTTTTAAAAAAATTTCACCTCGGTTCTTAAATAAAATGAATTAAAAATAATAATTTTAGTCATGCATCGTAAATTGAAACATGTGATTGAAATTGAGATATAGGGATAGTAATAATAGTACGGAGTATTAGATAAGATGCTCCCAAAATCTTTGGCACATTACGCAAAATGAAGCGGAATTTCAAAAAAAAAAAAAATCAATTCATTTTCTTTAAAGATTTGTATAGAAATAAAAAATAAAATTTGCATATTTCAAAACGTCAAAATTTTTTCTAAAAAGTGACAAGAATATATTATTTTATCAAATACTCCGTACTCGATGAAAACGGACAAATAAATAAAAATTCTTAGGATTTTTTTGCGTATTAAACTGTGACATTTTTTTTCTGATGTGCATGGTGTACCTTGAATTAAACCGGAGGTTTTAGAGAGATCAAGAAAGAAGGGCGTTTGGGGATCAATGCCTCCCCGCAGCTTCTCTGGTAATTTTGAGAAGAAGTTCCCTCTCATGCACTCTACTTCTGGACCCATTAATATCATTTCATCTGATGAACACACCAGCAATGCCTCTTCCATTTCCTTTTTCTTTTCTTTTCTTTTCTTTCTTTCTTTCTTAATTTTTCTTCCACTACAAACTACTCTCAACCAATGCACCACATATATATATATATATATATATATATGGGTTTGACTCCAGTCAGATGACATGTTTCGGTCAGATGACACTTTCAATCAGATGACATGCTTTGGAATGAGCACTAGCTTGTTTGAAAATGAGCACTATGTTGTTTCAGAGTGAACACTTTGCTAAGAAAACTGGGAATGAGTACTATGTTATTTTAGAATGAGTACTAAGTCTATAATGAGCAAATGTGTGAGAATGAATCCTACATTGTTTGAGAATGAACATCATGTTATTCAAAATGAACCCTATGTTGTCAATTGCCTCACTTGGAATGAACACTATGTTTTCCTAAATGAACAGTACTTTGTGATGGACAATTGTGTGAGAATGAACCATACGTTGAGTTAGAATGAACACTACGTTGATCCAGAATGAACCATACGTTGTCATCTGACCGAAAGTGTCATCTGACTGGAGTCAATCCATATATATATATATATATATATATATATATATATATAAGGGTTATGCTAGGGAGACCCCAACAATTAAACATCATGCGTACACCAAGACAAAATAGATATAATATACATGTGTTCAGAGAGACATAAATCATATGTGTTTGCCTTTGGTATACAAATGGTGTACAATTGTTGGAGTACCTCAATCAGGGGCAGGCCGAGGGTGGGCCAAGGTACGCTACCGGCTTAGGTTTATTTTTTTGGAGGCCAAACTTTTTTTATTTTTAATATATATTATATATTTTGTAAAAAATAAAAATTTATTTTTTTAAGGTAGGTATTAGAATAATTAGTTATAATACTATAGTTTTGTTATATGTATTACTATAATATCAACTGTTATTTTAAAAAAATCGTTTATATAATTTAATTTGTTAGGGTCAATGTCTATTTTTTCATCTCGCAGACCTCAACAATTTTTCTATATATAAAATGTGGTTTAGGTTGAGATTATTCTTAACATGAAAATAATAAGAATGTTGCATGATGCACACTCATGTCATTATGTTTGTCTAGATTTTATCATTTTATCTTATATTTCTTTTTTCCTGTTTTTTTGGAAATCTTATAGAGTATATACGGAGTATATTTTATTCCAAAAAATTTTGGAGAACTGTATTAATCAAAGTAGTTTGGCAAACGTCTTGGATTAGGTGGTAGTTTTCCCACTTTTTACTTTATGCTTTCTACTTCTATGTTTCACTCTCATGTTGTATTGGCTTTTGTGTTTTTCTTTTACTGCCTCCCTCCCAGAAAGATGTGGACGTTTTGACTACAGTGAAAAATTAAAGAGAAATAGTTTTGTAGTGACTTTCCAAAAATATTCTTGATGGGATGAGTAAAGTAGGATATGATGTGTAGATTATTAGGAAAAAAAGTATGAATAATTTATTTTATCAAATAATCAATAAAAATATATAAATAAATAAAAGTTTCTGTGATTGTTGAAAATAGAAATGCAACATTCTTTTTAGACGGAAGGAATAATTTCAAAACACAAAAAAAACCAATGGCAAAAAGTGAGTAGAAAGTGTTTGATGACATGATAGGGATGAAACATCATCATCCAAAGCATGAACTTATTATAAGTACTAATATGGACATATATTACGATATGATACATTCTTTTGGCTTTGATATATAGTGGAGTTCATTATATTGCAGGAAGAACTGTACATACCTCAATTCTCATTATTACATTTTTTGAATTTATACACTGCCACCCATGCTTTGGGTCATCTTAAGAAAAAAATACTTTGATTTGTCAATATCATAATATGACAAGTCACCTATGATATATCTTGCCCATAAAATTGATAATTTCTAGAATCAAACAATTTTCTGATTTGGCGCTGCCAAAGCAGTGATTGGAGGGTGTGGGGTAGGAGGTGATATGGTGGGGACACTGGAGTTTAGGGGATTTAAGGGTGGTTAACAATTAATTTTGCGAACAAGACATTGTAGTAGTCTCATACGGAGTATCATATTTTGATATTGATGTTCAGTGTCAAAAGATCGTTGTCCAAAAAAATGATGATGATGAGTCACATCCTTAGAGTTCTTTCATTATCGATTCTAAAATAACTCGGAAGTAAGAAATATGGAGTACTCTAAATGAATTATAATGTTAATCTGGGTAGGTCATGTATTGTATTGGATTACGTAACATGAATAAAGCGTGTTGATCTCATTGTTTTAATATTCTCACATTCAGCTTTGATTTTTTCAATTCAACTTTTTATAAGTCGATTGGATTGATTTGAATTTAGTTTGAGGTCTTCAGTTTTCCAAACACGCCCCTAATTTAAACTAAATGATGGGGGTAGTATAAATTATATTCTCCTCTATTTTGCATGCCAAACAAACACATCCCATGATCCCTTCAATTTTTTACAATTCTTTCTAGTTTACCAATTTCTTTTAATATCTATTTTATTTTCCAAACCTAGAGAGCAAACTCTTATTAGCACTGCTTTGTATGAAAACGTTTGGTAACGAACATTAGTGAAAAGTCACAATTCCAATATGGCTATAAAATAACATGTTGATGTTTAACCACAAAAAAAAAGTGAAAACACGTCTTGTCTCGTTTTTCTCATTTTGTATAATGTGCAATAATAGTAATACAATGTGTAGACTACATTTTAAACTCAGTCACTTGTTTGCTTGGGGGCATTTTCCGACCTGTTTGGCAACAATTTTAACGTTTTAAAACGACTATTTGGTTAGTATTTAGTCTTAACATTTTTAAAATTAATTTATACCTTTAAATAATTATCCAAAACACTAAGAGTATGTTCTCTTCAGTTTTTTTACTTATTACTTATTCTTATTTGAATTTGATCGAATCAGGTACATTCAGATTAGATAAATCATAGCTTTAAATTACACTACATTTAGATTAGACCAGATAAGTTTAAAAGAGACTAGACCACTTCAGATCAGAACTTAATAAATTCATATCAGAACCAATAAGGTCAGACGAATAGAACATGCCCTAACTATGATTCTTGTTCCAAACAATGCCTCAATAGCTAAAATATACGGGGTAGTCTCTTTGTTCTGATTTACTCCGTATATTTTATCATTTTGTTTTTTATACAGAGTTTAAGAGATAAAATTATGGCTCAAAATCATATTCATATTTTAAGGAAAAAATTTCATGATTATTATAATATCTCTATCTCACCTTGAGGTCAAAGTTTAATATCTCTAATACGAGTATCATTTTTATCTAACTTGAGGTCAAAGTTTATCAATTTTGACCAAAAAGTCAAAATACTCAAAGACGAGAGTAATTGGTTTTTCCATGTTACCCTTTGGGAATGAAATTTTGTTTGCAGAGTACAGATTTGTACGAATTTAGTTTCTGTATAAACATTTAGGCATTCATATTGTTTTCAACATTTGTATATTTAGTTCCAATCTATACATTAATGAATATCCAATGGATCAATTTTCTTAGCTTTTATTGGGATAACCAGAACAACTAATACAGTTGTTTCATTTGATAATATGCACCATTTCACACCGACTAGAAATGAAGACATAGGCCACGCTTGGCATCAGCATTAACATTTTAAAAAAGTTATCTACCAATACCCTTTAGCATTATCGTTTTCAAAATTAATCTATATCATTAAAATTTTATCCAAAACGTTAACGCTAATTGAAAATGTTATAACCAAACATGGCATTAATTCATCAACTATAATAAGTTTCAAGACATCACCATAAACTCAAACTCTCGACAAACCAAAACTGTGGGACTAAAAGAAAGAGGGGAAAAAAGACACCAAAACATTATTAGAAAGACTTGTGTTGCAAAACAAAAAACACAAACCTTGAAAATTATCATGTCTTCAAGGCTCTCTACTCCATCCCCCAGAGTATGGTTTTCACTTTTAAATCATTTGGGGGGAAAAAATATTCAAAAAGCACACCATTTTCTCGTATTGGAAGTGTTTTGAGTCCTAATATTATTATCAGAGTACATAATAATGACGAAAACAATGTAAACGAAACCCCTAATCCCATGCACTGTTTGCTCCAGAACCATATCCTCCGCCATAACCACCACTATAACCTCCGCTACCGCCGCCACCATAATAATCTTTGCCACCACCTCCGCCGCCCCTTCTAAAGTCTCGGGCACCAAAACGATTCCCACCAGGCCTCCTGTTTCTACCACCACCACCACCACCACCACCATAAGAAGAACGACTAGCATAACGAGCCAACCAATCAGGTACCTCTTGATTAGCCTCTTGCATCAAGTCAGCCAAAGGTTTGGCCAATGAGACGTTACCTTCGTTGAAAAATGCCGTGGCCAATCCGCTCTTGCCAGCACGGCCTGTCCTTCCTATCCGGTGCACGTAATCATCAATGTCGTTAGGGAGATCGAAATTGACAACATGGGCAACATGAGGAATGTCAAGGCCACGCGCTGCAACATCTGTTGCAACTAAAATGGGAGTATCCCCTTTCTTAAATGATCTTAATGCGAACTCTCTTTCCTGTAAAATTAGCATTGTGAATATTTAATTTTAAACACACAAAACAATAGTATGTGTAAGTTCAATAGCCTAAGCTTTTAACTATAAGAAATCAAAAGTAGATTGGTGGCGCCAAGATTGGGGTGGTTACAGATTCAGTGTTTGGTCTTATGAGTTCAAATGATACTTCCTTCGTCCAAACAATAGTTAGGTTCAAATTTCATTTTTATCCCCAAAAGACGCCCTACTTCAAAAAAGAGTAATTTGCATTGAACATAAAGTTATTCTCTAGAAGTACTTGAATATGTCAAATTTAGCTCAATTGCCAAATAAAATTCACAAGCAGGATTGATGGTTTGCAAGAGTTGAACCTAATTGAATTTAAAAGTTATATCTTGGTGAAATGGAATTCTTTTATGGGACAGAGTACATGATATATGTTGTATACTTGTATAGTACTTCCCCTAACACACTATGTTTGTCCCATTTTAATATTTTGGTCCGCCGCAAACAAATTGTCGGATACTATATTTGATCATATTTGTGTGGTTGAAAATTATACAACCTCATAACATTATAATAAACCAACCCACCAAAGGATTAAATATATTTTTGGACCCTATAAAATGAATCCTTTTGCTTTTGGTCCCACTAAAATATTTTTTAATTAGCTCATCTCTGTAAAAATGATTTTTTTTTTGCAAATGGTCCTCCAACCAATTTAGAGTTAATGATAAGGGCTTGTTCTTTTGGGTTGGAATTTCAGAGTTGGATGTTGGAAGAAACTGGAAGGAGTTGGAAAAAAAATGGAAGGAATTGGAAAATGTTGGAAGAATTAAAGTGTCAAACAGTCATTCAATTTGTTACGAGAAGGAGACATAGAAAAGGGGTTCGGTTCTCTTTTCTACGTCTCCTCGTAAACAATTAAATGATCACCCAAATAAATATGTAGAGAACTCTAATTTTGAAAAAAAAGAATTCATCATTGTCTCTATTTGAGGTAGTATGTTATAAATTTGGATATATAATGTTATTGTATATTTAAGTCTCCGTTGGAAGAAACTGAAAGAACTTGGAAGGAGGTGGAAGGAGTTGGAAAAAATTAGAAGTTAAATTTTCCAACCCAAAAGAACATTGCCTTAATATGTTAGGGTTTACAACCAATTATAGGGACCAAAAACAAAATCACTTTGGATTTAAAAAAAGTTAGAGGGACCAACAACAAAATCGCAAATTTTATAGGGACCAAAAACGTATTCAACATTAACTACAACTTGTAAAAGTTTAGTGGGAGGACCATTTGCAAAAAAAAATACATTTTACAGGGATGAGTTAATTAAAAATGTTTTAGAGGGACCAAAAGCAAAAGTCACCCATTGCAATTTACATGGACCAAAAACATATTTAACCATAAACCAAAACTACACATACTTGTATTAGTCGTGTAAATTTGAAATCTGTCACGAGAAAGCTGAAAACACTTCTTAATCTAAGTTTGGTAGGACCATAACAGAATTTAATGCAATGGAATGAAATAGATCACACAATAGATCATGCATGTAATATGGTGGAAGGAGTTCTCATTCCTTGCTATCTACTCTCTTCATCTACGAAATAGTCCTATTCTAAACTTAGTTTTGCCCCAAAAAAAACATATTTGAGCAAAACATGCTACATTAGTACATTTCTCTATATTTATATTTTTTATGAAGGTCTATGAAACATTAGTTCAAAGCAGTTAGTTACATGGTTGATTACGTCCTACCAAGCATTGAACTAATGTAAAAAGTCATTACATGGTTGATTACGTCCTACCAAGCATAACATTAGTTCAAAGCAGTTATATAAAAAGAGGAACCCTGACCTGTTGTGATCTATCACCGTGAATAGAAGTTGCAGGAAACCCATTAGTACAGAGCCAGTGTTCCAATGCATCTGCTCCCCTCTTCGTTTCCACAAACACCAATGTTAAAGCTTGCTGCAAAAGTTACAGCCAACAAATCAGCGAAAAGCAAATTCAATAAATCATGCTTTTTATTTGTCTGCCTAACCTGTGTTTATTTTTTATTTCAGTGGCAGGCAGTGGACAGTTTTTGCACATGTGATCATAACCACCAAGCCCATTCATTTAAAGATAGAGATACCGAACATGATAGGAACAAGACATTATAGTTTATTACCTGCCCATTAAGACCATTTGCCCTATGTGCGTGAAGAAGATCCATAAGATGGCTTCTCTTGTCGTGAGTTTGAACAAACTCAACTCTCTGAACAATCAAATCAGTACTGGAACCAACTCGTCCAACCGTCAAAAATAGATAGTTTGAAAGAAAATCAGATGCAAGTCTCTGCATATAAGTCAAAGAGGAGATGGATCACCAGATAGATCGAATTCATATTTCTGTCTTCTAAAGAAATTTGTGACATTCCAAAGTCCAAAGGTATTGAGTAGCTATAGGGATTATTTATATGTTTCTAGAAGACTGGAGCTCTGATCACGTCTCATTACATCTATTTTGAGGGTATAGGCTGGTTGGTTACTAATTGTGAATTGCTAAAAAGTAAAATAAATCAGCTTGTCAGGAATAGGCAAACCTGAATTTCCCTAGGAAATGTGGCGCTGAATAACATAGTCTGCCTTACACCAGGTGGGGGCATATCCATTTGCTGCACTATCCTTCTGATTTGAGGCTCAAACCCCATATCAAGCATACGATCTGCCTCATCAAGGGCCAAATATCTTATCATCTCTAGAGAAACTTTGGCTCTCTCAAGCAAATCAACTAATCTCCCCGGAGTTGCCACAAGAATATCAACTCCTCTGTCAAGTTCTCGGAGCTGATTTTTTTAATAATTAGTCAACTGTACAAGGCTATATGCAAATAAAAAATGATCATGATAGAAGATTTGATGGCCGATTATGCCACACGTGAGAAACTTGAAGAATAAGATGAGTGAATCATGGAACATCAAAGTATTGGTTGGTGTCAAAGCACTGATATCCAGGTAACTTGAATTTCCATATGTTCACCTTTCCTCTGTGGTGAATAAGATGAATAAATCACGGAACATCAAAGTATTGGTTGGTGTCAAAGCACTGTTATTCAGGTCACTTGAGTTTTCATAAATTTCTCTATGATCTCCATAAATCATGGACCAAAAAAAAATGATTCTTGGGTCCACAAAAGACTCTTACAATAGAACGCACTAAAGTAATTTAACTACTACTCCCTTGTCCCTCTAATAGAGTCCATTGCCAATGGAACTAAAAGAGTCACTGTTGACAATGTTTTAGTTTCAGGTAAATAATGGACTAAATAAAAATCGCACATCACACATCAAACTTCCTTCGCTTCTTGCTTCCTACGAAGTTTTGGATAGTAAATGCAGAAATGAATCAAGGGTCTAATGGAAATAGTTTCTTTTTTTCTTTAAATGACTTTCAAGTTTCTTATAGGAGTAGGTTTATGTGCATCTTAACTCTCATGTTGTTATACACATGTACCACTCCCTCCATCCCTAAATAATTTTCATTTTCACTTGTGTACGCCTTTAAGAGTGTGGAGTTGTGTAAGGCTTTTTGGAAGGGAAAAATATAAACCATGCAATTCTTTCCTTGAAAAGAAAGACCAAGTTTATTCGGGACAGCCAAAAAGAAAAAAAAGTACTAAGGGGGCAGAGGGAGTTCTTCATGAGTTTGCAAAGACCATTCAATTTCTAATACAGAAAGTCTGCAGTCTATTTTCTGCTAAGCACAAATCATCAACATCATAAGCACAGTATAAGAACCAATAAGTTAAATTAGACATTTCATGAACGAAATTTAAGATCCCTTTGACTTATTTTCAGTAACTAACTTCCTCCACAGTTGAGTTAAGTTGAGTAATTTTCAATCAAAAAGTAGAAATTTTACCTAATTAAAAATATGGAAAGGAGACAATGGTGAACCTTAATGGATTGTTTTAGTTGGAGTGGTTTGGGGTGGAGAGAACGTTGGAGAAGAGAAGATGAAGAGAGAAAAAATATATTGCATGGTTTGGTTGGGGTGAAAACTGGGGAAGAAAATAAACTGTGTGGGCCCACATCAAAAGAGAATTTCTTTGTAATTGAGAGATAACTTGATGGAAAAGTTTGAAATTTAAACTAAACAACATTAATGCAACTAATTTTTCTATGTGATAAGACAACTTGTCTTTAGAAAGAAAAATCATTTTCTTTCTCAGCAACCTGAAACTATCCCAGCTTATAATCAATCTCTCTTTTTGCCTACTTCTTTCCATTAATTTCCATCTTATTTCTCCTTCCATCTAAATAAAGTGTAATGGAGCCCACAAACATTACTAAATATGGTAGGGGACAAAAATAGTGAGACAAAAAAGGGACAAAAATAATGAGACAAAGGGAGCATTAAATTTGGTTAAAAGATGTTTTTTTAAAAAATAAGAATTGGTTTAAAACAACTTTTATACAATAGAGCATGGGTTTAAATATTAAAAAAAAATTATTTGGCACCCCAAGATTAAAATCACAGCTTTCCCACTGAAAGGAGACTGGAGAGACCAAAATCTAAAGAGACCTGTTGATGCATTGGTGCCCCTCCATAAGCCACTACCACTCTGACGCCAGTTTGATAAGAGAACTTCTTTGCTTCTTCATGTATCTGCATGGTTATTAGACATATCAATGACAACATGTAATTCCAAAATAAAAGTGGACGTGAAACTGATGAAACAACTGACCAAGTGCGTAAATAAGTTACCCCATATTAGACTGGCACACAAACCTGCATTGAGAGCTCTCTTGTAGGTGAAAGAATTAAAGCAAGAGGAAACACAGTTCGCCCTGCACGTGGCCTCTGAGGAAAACTCCCTTTCATGATTCCACTAATAATCGGGAAACAAAAAGCAGCTGTCTTTCCAGATCCAGTTTGTGCACAAGCCATCAAATCTCTTCCAGCAAGAGAAATGGGGATTGCATGACGCTGGACAGGAGTTGGCTTGACATATTTGCATCTTCTAATATTCGAGTTAAGGGCATCCCCCAAGTCTATTTCTGCAAAAGTATTCACAGGAGGGGGGACATTATTTCCAGTTGTTTCCACAGGAATATCCTCATACGCATCAAAGTTGATCCCTCCATTCTCTTGTTCAGTTGGAGGAACCTCATCACCATCAATTTCATCACTACCAAATGGGTTCACCTCCTGCTCTCTGCCTCGACCACCACCTCTCCCGCCCCATGCACCACCACCACGGCCACCACCATACCGTTGGGGCCCATAATCAGATCTGGGACCATTCCACACTGACCCACTTGCAGATCCGCCTCCACTAAACCTGTCATTGCGAGCCTGTGGAACACCCTGTGTGGGAACTGGAGGTGGAGCTGCAGCAGCAGCTGGTCTGTTCCGAATGTGAGGGGGCACATAAGCAGATCTCCTGGTGGATGCCGGAGCTCCACTACCACCACTAGTTCCAGCATTACCAGGTGCTGCATTATCAACCAAATCCGCCCATGAGTTCCTCATTGCAGAGAACCCTTACCTCTATAAAACTAACTAGACAAATTTCAATAAGCTACAGGGTCCCAGTTGTCTATTAGATAAACTCGGTTAGGAAGCCTGGAATTGACTCAGTTCAAACCCCTGATTGGAAATCAAAAGAACAACCAAAAAAAGAGAAGATGAAGAATCTCCATTAGCAATAAAGAAAAGAAAGAAAAACAAAGCAATTGAGATGAAACTGTAAAGAGCTCTGCATATACCAACGCCAATATACTTCAAAATGCAAGCAAACGCTCATCATATCACACCAAAAGAAAATAAACAACCAAATTACTGAGGAAACATTAAATCGGGGAACTTCGGTTAGCTTGTCAAACTTCTAAATCTAGCTTTCAAAGGAGAACTCGAGAGATCGGTAACGCAATAGTTATACCACTAGCTATAGATCAAACAAGGACTGCTACATGAGAATCAGCTATGGAGCTAACCTTGGAGAGCGATAAATAGCTTCAGAAACCCTAGGCTTTGTTGACGAGAAGAGAGAGATAGGGTAACTGTGAGACAGTAAGAGTAAATATAGGGATCGGATTTTCGGACATGTTGAACTTACAGAAAGAACAGTGAACACATTTAAATACGGAATAATGGTTTAAAAAAAATAAAAAATTCTTGAAGAATGTTTTGATTAGTTGGTAGAATTCACACTCCTTTGACTCTTAAAAGAATTCGGTCTTGTTTGAAAATTGACGGTTGACTATTAAACCATACGTAGCCAAAATGCCGGAAAGCATTATGTTCGGCCACCTCCACACCGAAGCCACCCCACAAGAGCTGAGAGACGCCGAGCGTAGCCATGGCGCCCGGAACATAGGAGAAAGAGAGAAGAGTGGGTAGGATGTTTTCAAGATAGCACTACAGAAGGAGATGAAGCCCGATGGTACCTCGAGGTAGTGTACGGGCACTATCTCGTGCCATTGGCGGCCACCTCAGCCCCTCTCGCGGCCACTACACACGGTCTTGGCTGATTGTGTTAGTTGGTTGGAACGATTGGTTGAGTTGGTCGTTTGACCGGCTCATTGTGGTTCATGAAAACATACTATGTACTTGACAGACTTAATAGATTCTAAATAACTGATACAATTTGATAATAATTGGTCTTATTGAATATTGAATGATATATCCCTATTTATAGGGATTACATGATAGAAATCTGATCTATTCATAGTAGGAAACAGTTATGGTACCAATACAATAAGGAAAACAATATGATAAGGAAAGTAATTAAATATAATAGTTATTTCCTATTATCTAATATTTTTAATATCCACGTAAGCTGATCATCAGTAACGAGGAGTAGCTTGGAGCACATGTACTGGAATTGAGCTGGCAAAAGCAGTTTTGTGAGGATAATAACTAGAAGTAAAGAATCATGTCTTCGTTGCATGATGAACGAGCTTGAAATTACGTTTACTGAATTTTTCCGGTGCGAGTGTTGGCGATTGGAACGAGTGCGATGAGTTTCTTTTTTCTCCTTTTGGGCTGTTCTCTGCTTCTTTATCGCTTTCCATGCTCTCGATCTCTAGAAACACAGACAAATGCAACTTTTTCATTCTTCGATCACGCACATGTTTTTTGGAAGAGAACGAGAGAGAGAGAGAGTGAATTTTTTGGTGAGAAATGGAAGGATAATGGACGGCGGCTATTAGGCACGCTCGTTGAAATCGGTCGGTGACGCCATGTTGTTGGGTGGTCGACCGCCGTGAACAGAAACTAGCTATGTGCTTGGTTTTTTAGAACCTTAGCCCTGATACCATGATAATAATTGGTCTTATTGAATATTGAATGATACATCCTTATTTATAAGAATTGCATGAGAGAAATTTGATCTAAACATAGTAGGAGAACAACTATGGTAACAATACAATAAGAAAAAATAATATGATAAGGAAAGTAATTAAATATAATAGTTATCTCCTATTATCTAGTACTCCCTCCGTCCTAAAACGTTCTTCTCGGTTTGACTTTTCTCCATTTTTAATTTTTGGCTTTGACTTCAAATTTTACCTTCCTTAAAAAAAAAATTTGAAATTTTTTTTGCAATCATTCAAAATATAGAGTTAGAAGATAATTGGTGTAAATACATGAGGGTATTAATGTCATTTGTCATCTTTTTTTTCTAATGGGAAGGTAGTTTTAAGACGGAGAAAAAGGAGAAGTGAGAAGAACGTTTTAGGACGGAGGGAGTATTTCTAATAATAACTCTTATAGATGAAATTACTTCTACACATGCAAAGTATTTTAATTTCATTTATATAATACTATGTATAATTTAAATAATCCACGATACTCTGTATAATATAATATTATTTGCAATATATTACTCCATCCGTCCTCAGACTTTCTTTCTCAGATTCTATTCATATTGTCAAACTTTATCTATTTTCATTAATCATTTAATTTGATAAAATAATACTCCATATATTAATGTCATATCTTATTTTTAAGAATTTTTTATGTATGGTAATTTTTAAATATATAAACTTCACTTCTTAACATTACATATGTAATCAAATGGATTGTATTGAAAATAATATTACACATATAAACTTTACTTCATTTATTTATTTATTTATTTATTTGCTTATTCTTCAGTTTTTAATTTTGTTTTCATTTTTAATTTTTTAAATTTTTTTTAGTTTTTAAGCTTTTTTATTTACTCATTAAACTATTTTTAGTTTTTAAATTTTGTAGTGTTTAATCATTAAATTAAGTGTTAAAAAGTAATATCTAAAATGAAAGTGGGTGATGGAATGAAAATCATACCCCTGAAAAAGAAGAAAAAGTAAAAGAAAAACTAATTATGTGACGTTAAGTTACTAGAAGGGTAAGGGGGAAAGCATGATACCTACCCACTAATAGCCTTACACTTATTATAATTACTATAATACACATATCTTAAGAGTAATAAGAGAGTAGTACATTTTTAAGAAAATCGTTCTGAATAAAACTAAAACATAGAGAACATATCAAAATAGGAGGTTTATGTTTTTTTCCTCTAAATAAGACTTCACTCTATGGTAATGTGGCACTGTACATAAAAACATTACAGTATATACTTTTTGTTAATGTACATCTTCATGATTGAGATTGTAAATGTATTTCAACTCATATTTCCGGGAAAAAATCATGAAATTCTATTTTAGTATATTTTCAATATTTTACTCATACTTTAGTTTTTTCCCTACATTTTTTATTGTTTTTATAATTTATACCTTTTAATTAAAAAAAATTGTAGTAAATACTTTTTTATTTTCTTATATACACATTTGTGTATTAAATCATTAAGATATTTTTAACAAAAATTTAACTCAAAAACATTTCTTCTAAGCCAACTATTAATGAGTTAAAATGGAGAACTTCATACGTAAAAATAAAAAAAATTATGAAAACACCGAAATAAGAGATCCTTCTCTTTTGAGAATAAAATAGAAGTTCACGTTATCATTGTTACATTGTGACATTCACCACATTATCACTGCAACACTGTCATCTATCTTAGTCGGCTACCGGAGTGCCGTCGTCAGTTGCCAACTGTTGACTGGTCACACTACTTGTAACACCCCAACCCGCGTAACCCTGACCAACGATTTAGCGAACCAGATTGCTACTAAATTGGTATCAAACACAACAATTTTCAACATAATTTAAAATATTTAATTTAAAACAATATTTAAATATCCATCGGAGTACTATAAAACGGTGCGGAAGCCTTTAATAGTGAAATCAAAATACGACTTGGGTTCTTGCCCTTAATATTAGATAATAAAATCCTCCAGCCAGCATCCATCCACCCCTATGCCCTTTCTGCCCTCCGAGATAGTTTCCTTATTCATCGTTCATGTTACCTACGTGTAGCAAATAGGAAAAGGAGCTACACGCTGAGCACTAAAGCTAAGTGAGAAATATCTAACGTTTCAACTAGGCACATAGACGAACTCACTAGCTCATTATTTCATGCAATATCGTGCACACAATTGCCACTTTCTTAGCTTCCATCTTACTTTGAACAATATCACTCCATAACCAGTCACTTTAATGCATACTCGCAAAACCACAACTCACACCTAACACTTTTCTGGTCGCTTCTCTAATGTAGTTTTAATTTCAGTCTGTGCCCACATGTTAGTGGCCTCCCTAAAGACTTCCACATGCCTTTCTCTTATAATTACCCTCGTTCATGACGATTTAAAATAAAAATACGTTAAAACTGAAAAACAAAGTGTTTATATTTTAATCGAATAAATTATGAATAATGTTAAAAAATAGAGAATTTTAAAGTTGATATAGTCTAGAATTTATGTTTTAAAGATCTTTCCACAGAATATAAATTTGATTATGAAATATGTACCTCAAAATTCTCTATTTTGTCTAAAACATTATTTTCTTTTTTATTACTTTGTAGTTACAGACACGTACTTTATACTACCTCCATCCGATAATAAACTTCACATTTTAACCTTTTCTATTTTTTAAGGAGGGTTGACAATGTGGTGGAAATGTATAAAATACCCGTTGATCTTCCCTTCACCTTGCCCCTTGCCCTCGTCATCTCTGTCAAGCACACTGTCGCTACTAGCAGTCCCAACACCACCGTTAGCCCCGCCACAACCGCTAGCCTCAGTGCCCCACCACCACCAACCATTGCTCCCACCTTCACCAATAGTCCCACCAGTGCCCTAACCACCACTGTCTCCGGCATCCCCCAACACCATCATCCCTAGGCCCACCACAACTGACAACGTCACCATCGTCGCCAACTCATCATCGCCGGTAGTCCCGCTACCATATCATAAATCTAAAAGAAAGAATGAAGAGAAAGAATTTGGAGAAAGAGAAAAATAAGAAGAAGTGCATAAATCTAAAAAAAAGGCACCGAGAAGGGCATGGATCTATGTCATCACCGCCATGACATAGATCTAAAGAAAAAGAAGTGCAGATTTATACTCATCATCGCTACCACCATCGCTCGCCGCGAATTCATCATAATCGCCTGCCACCATTGCCACCATGTCACAAATCTAAAAGAAAGATGGAGGAGAAAGATAAAGGGAGAGACAAACAAGAAGAAATATGGAGGAGAAAGAGGAGAGGAGAAGAAATATGGAGGAGAAAGAGGAGAGGAGAAGAAGATGGAAGAGAGGGGAGAAAAATAAAATGAAGATGAGATCCGGGTGGCGGAGGAAAAAAGAAAGAAAGAAAGAAAGAAAAGAGAAAAATAGAAGAGAAACCACCCTATATAGGACTAAAACATAGAAAAAAAAGTACCAAAATAGGAGTTTCATGTTTTTATTTTCGAAATAGAAGTCCGCACCGTGGTAATGTGATGGTGATGTGGCACTGTACATAAGCACATTACTCAACTTTTTGGTAATGTACATGATCATGTTTGATAATGTAAATGCATTTTGACTCTTATTTTGAGAATAAAAATATGGAAGTCCTATTTTAGTATATTTTCAATATTTTACTCATACTTTTCTTTTTCCCAAGAAAGAAAAGTTGAAGAGGATGATATTTTTGTCTTAAAGTGGGTTGAAAAATAGAAA